TTTTTGAAGGCACTCTAATGAGACTAGACGATCACGGAGGCTTATTAGAAAGAATTTTTTTGTTGTTGTTTTCCCCAATCATTTTATTGGGGGCTCATCTAGCTCTTTATCACAATCCATCCATCCATTCCATCCACTGTGTCAAGCACATTTGTACATATGTTACCATCATCATTTTCTTTTAATCATTTTAATGGGGGCTTATACAGCTCTTTTCAAAATATATCCACCCATCCATTGTGTCAAGCACATTTGTACATTTCTTGCCATCATCGTTTTCAAAACATTTTCTTTCTACTTGAGCCCTTGGTATCCGCTCATTTCCCCTCCCTCCATAGAAAGAAGTTTTAAGAAAATGGAAAGCTGTATTGGTGAGAAAAGGGCCAGGAGAGTTGTACCAAGGAGTTTTCCCTACCACTACCATTCTTCAAGGGCAGCAAGGACTATCTCATGAGAATTTCATTGGGAAACCTTACCCATCCACCCCACAGCCCTGTTCCTGTCCCTTCAGACTGCTTCTGGAAGAACACAGAAAAGGAACATGATTTAAATTTACAGGATGCCCACACTGCCATTCTGATGTGGTATTATTTGAAGAGCACAGGGGAGGGTTAGAGATATGGAAACATCACCATCACAATCGTCCAGACCTAGCGAGAAGAAAAGTCCGTTTTCCATTTTGGTACTTTTGTTTTATAAAGGTTTCTGTGAGTTTGACTTACCCTCGTATTTCTGGACTTTAGTTTTCTCACCTAATGTTGGCTCTTGGGGGCAGTTCCACAGTCTTGACATAGAAACCTCTCATTTAATCTCTCTACAGAGATCTGTTGTACAGATGTGCCATACGCTTTTGCTGTTAGAGGTCAAGTGATCAATATATTTTTTGTTTAAAGAATTTTTTTAAATTAAAAGATCATTTTATTGGTGGCTCTTAAAACTCTTATCCATACATCAATTGTATCAGGCATATTTGTAAATATGTTGCCATCATTCTTTTCTAGACATTTACTTTCTATTGAGCCCTTGGTATCAGCTCCTCTTCCCTACAACCCCCCACCCCCAGAACCCCTTGATAGATTATAAATTATTATTATTTTCAGATCTCACACCGACCACTGTCTCCATTCCCCCATGGTTTCTGTGGTTCTTCCCCTTGGAGGCCTGTGTGTATGTGTTGACCATTGCAATCAGTTCCCCTTTCCTCTCTTTCTCTCCTCTCCTTCTAGTATCACTATTCCAAGGTCTGTTCCTGGATTCTGTGTATTGTGAGCTTTTATCTCTTATCTATACCTGTGTACATGCTCCGGTCTCGTCCAGAGTGAGAAGCAGCACTGGGGTCATGATAGTGGGGGGTGAGGAAGCCTCAAGGAACCAGAGGAATACTGTGTGTTCCATCGGTGCTTTACTGCGCCCTGGTTGACTCATCCCTTCCCTGTGACCCCTCTGTGAAGGGACGTTCCATTGTCTACAGATGGGCCTTGGTATTTGGGTCTCTGCACTGACCCCCCTGTTCTCAACAATGTTTTTATTTGCTTGTTTGTTATGGGTCTTCTTATACCTGTTACCTGGTCCTGATGACACCTCATGATAGTGCTGGCTAGTGTGCTTCCTTCCATGTGGGCTTTGTTGCTTCACTGCTGGATGGCCACTTGTTTAACTTCAAGCCTTTGAGATCCCAGACGCTATATCTTTTAATCGCTGGGCACCATCCGCTTTCTTCACATATGTTTATGCACCCATTTTGTCTTCAACAATTGTACTGGGAGAGTGAGCATCACAGAATGCTGTTAGAACAAAGTATTCTTTTCTTGAGGGAGGCCCAAAGTCTGTCCTCTCAGTGTATAGCTATATAAATATATGTACATAGGCCAATACCTGTATTTGTATGGTTTAATGTATTTACATATGTACACACCTATGCTTATAGCTTTATCCAGAGCTTTGCTTCCTAGGTCCTTCCTCTGTTTCATTCTGCCTTCCTCCTGCCCCACCATCACATTCCCCTACTTGCGCTTCTTAGTACTTCCTCTCAGGTAGACTGCTGTTGCTCCAGCATCCACAGGATCGCTACATCCTCCTAATTGTTGCCTTTAATTCCCTAGTTGTTCCCGTCTAAGGAGTTGCTTACTCACTGCACCCTTTCCAAGCCTCCTCCCCTAAGACCCTCAGGGACCATTGGTTCCGTTGCTTTCTCCTGGAGCTTGCTTCCCATGCCTGTCTTATATAAGTAGGCCAACCAACAATGACACAGACCAAACAATAAGACAACAAAAGATTGAAAAAAGAAAAGGAAAAAAAAAGAGAGAGAGAGAAAAAAACATACATTATTCCAGGTTTGTCCGCTGACCTTCATGACTATCTCCCCCTTGGTCCTGGGGGAATTCCAGGAGCTTCCCCTCCTAGCCTGAAGTCCATTTTGGGGGCTCTTTAGGGGTTTTGTGGCTTGGCTTTGTTCCAGTTGCTGATCTGTTATGCACCCTTCGTTTGCCCCTCTGCGGGGGTTCAGACCTCACTAACTCCCTGCCATGTGTCCCCAGTATTGTCCTCTGGTGCAGTATGCTCCAGCAAGGGGACATGTCATGGGCTGTTGTCGGCCCTACAGTCCTCTGTGTGCCTTGGTGTGTCAATATGGGGTCTAGATCAGCTGTCCCTTTCTCTTTTTGCCTTCGTGGTTTACTTCCGTGTTGGCATGACATGGCCCATTTCCTCAAACTGTAGGTTTGGTGTTGTTCTCTGTCACACATATTTCTAGGGAGGGCTCAGTTAGGCTCTGGTTGGGGCTGGCCCTGTAGCCCCATCTTTTCATGCATGCCGCCCACCCCCCCACCCCAGCCCCCGTGGTTACATTGCCCTCATGGTTTGGTGTCCCATGTGGGGTTTGTGTGCACACTCCCAATTCTGTGGAGACATAACCAATACTTTCCACATGGGTGGGTTAATACCCTGTTTGCCCCATGCTATCATCTCACTTACAGAATTAAAAAAAAATCCTTTTATTGGGGGCTCATACAACTCTTATAACAATCCATCCATCCATCCATCCATTGTGTGTCAAGCACTTTTGTACATTTGTTGCCCTCATCATTCTCAAAATATTTGCTTTCTACTTGAGCCCTTGGTATCAGCTCATTTTCCCCCTTCCTCCCTG